TGTGAAAATGGGACTAGACAAAGTTGGCCCAATGGGAAAGAAAAACAGCAGGGATGGCTGCTACTTGCTCAGGACTCTAGCTGAGGGGGTGGAAAAAAGAGAGGCCAATGGCCCATGTGGGTATGAGGTCTACTATTACAATTCTGTACGAAACAGACTGAGGAATTAAAATACCACTCAGTCATTCATTCTTTGAAAATCCGGGAGTACCTACTATGTACCAGGCATTGTTCTAAATGTACACAAGAGATAAAAAATCCTTGACTCTATGGAACTTTTTTTTCTAGTGGGGAGATAGAGACAGCAACAAATTAATACTTGAGGACTTGTGTATTTAAAAAGAGGAAAGAAAGAAAAAGAGGGGAGAGAGGGAGAGGGAGGAAGGGAGAGAGACTGGGAGGGAGGGAGGAAGAAAGAATGAATACTGGGTAGAAGCTAACACAGAATTGCTCTGCAGAGGAACTACTTCAATCTAGGGTCATGGAACTCCCACAGAAATATCAACCACCATTGAAAATTAGTTCACAACAACAAAAAAATCACAAATCACCTACGGAAATAAACCAACGTGAGGGAGAGTCAGACAAACAGACTTCAAATTCAAGCAAAATACTCTACTAGGTCTAAGGAGAATAATCACTAGGAAGTTCTAACAATCCTAAATCTGAATGCCCTAACATAGCTTCAAACACAAAAAACAAAATTGCCAAGTCCTCAAACTCAGAATGATATATTAACATACATTTCTGAAATTTACAGAGCAAACAGGCAAAAAAAAAAAAAAAAAACAAGGATATAGAACATTTCAATAGTACAGTTAATGAGCTGGACCTAACAGAAAAATGTGACAATAAATTGGAAAACACAGATGAAATAGACAATTCTGTAAGTATATACAGGTTACCAAACTGTTTCAAACACAAATGATAACCATGAATAAACATATCATCATTAAAGAAAATAAATTAATAGTCAAAAGACCAACAAAAATAGCATATGTTCCAGATGGTTATACAAGCTAGTTTTATAAAACCTTCAAGAATCAGATGTCTTATACAAACTGTTCTTAAGAGAGGGGGCTCAGTAAGGTAGGTGGATATGAAATGAATAAACAAAATCTCATTCACAATAGTGAATGAAAGTATAAGGAACCTAGGGAAAATTCTAACAAAAGATTGAAAGTTATAAGAAGATAATAAAATAAAATGTCAATTTCTCTTTAAAGTATAAATCCAATGAGGTACCAATCAAACTCCAACAGAATTTATTAAAGCAACTTATACGCTGATTCTAAAATTCTTATAGCTATCTAGGGGAAGAGCATTCCAAGCAATGGGATTATTACATGCTAATGTCCTGACAAAGGGATGTGCCCAGCATGCTCCAAGAAGCAGGAGGCTGGTGTAACTGGAGCAGACTAAGGAGGACAGTCATAGATGAGATCAGACAGGGAGATGGGCACCAGAACCATTGGACATTTTAGGCTGTAGTCTTGTCTCCACCTGGACACTGAGTAAAGTTGGAAGGCAATGGAAAGTCTAAGTTGAGAAAGGATGTGTCTGACTTATGTTTTAACATGATAATAAATGTCACTACTGTGTTTAGAACAGACCAAGGAAAGCAGGAGGTCAGTGAAGTAACCCAGGTGAGATGTAATAGTGGCATGGACCAGGGAGGTCACAATGAGGTTTGGTCAAGATTCTGAATGTGCTCCTAGGATTCACTGATGGATTTTATTGGGGATGTGAGAAATAGAAGAATCAAAGATAGCTCAGTGTTCAGTTTTTGAAATTAGGCAGCACACAGTAAATCTAATCAGTGTCTGTGGTTCTAACGGAAATCTAACCAACACAGCACATTCATAGAAAACATACACATATGAAAGCATCCAAAATCATCTGTCAATATGGATAATAAATCCTATATACTGTGAGTTTGGTGTTTTGGTGTTATATAATGAGCTCTGATAGTATAATGTTTAAGACAGTTGGCTGCTATCAAAAAGCCTGTAGTTCAAATGCACCAGTCACTCCAGGGAAGAAGGATGAGGCAGTTTGCTTCTGAAAATAGTTACAGCCTTGGAAACCCAGTGGAGGTCGCTATGAGTCAGAATTGACTCAGTGTCATTGAGTTTGGTTTGGTTTTGGTTTATATACCATATAGATAGAGTTAAGAATTTAATTTAGAAACAATAAACTTCAAGAGAGCTTATACTTTCCTGTATCAGTAAAGCAAAGAATGGGGCTTGAAAATATTCTACAGCATAATTTTTGGCCCTAATGTTGAGATAAAAAGGAGCCTTGGTGGCACAGTGCCTAAGACATTTGACTGCTAACCGGAAGGTTGGCAGTTTAAACACCGCAGCCACTCTGTCGAAGGAAGATGGGACAATCTACTTCTGTAAAGATTTACTGCCTTGGAAACCCAATGGGTTATGAGTCGGGATCAACTTGATCAACTTGGTGGTAATGGGTAATGTTGAGATATAAGACATGTAAAAAAAATGACCTTAAAGGGAAATCATAAAATAATTTCTACCAAGATCACCACCATCTTCAAATATTAATTCATTTTAATTGCAAAAGTAAATAAAGTTGACTCTCACAAGATGGTAAGAGATCTCACTAAATAAAGCCATGAGTCTTTATAACGACACATACTCAGAAAATTATTCCCTAGAACTATAATCCTCCAACTACTTTAACATAGAGAACTTTCGGTCAGTCTTGCAAAAAGTCATGGTCTGTGGACTTCAGCTGGTCCTGCTTAAGGCCATCCAAATTCCATAAAATTTCTGAGAAGGAGGGATTTTGTGGAGAGATGATTGAGAGAGAATAGCAGTAAAGTGAGGACTTGGGATATGTCAAAAAGTATTAGACTTGGGATTTTAAGAGGGATTTTAATACCACTTCTGTCTCACAAGATTTGAAAAATAATTTAACACAACTGAGCCTTGACTTCCCCATGTAGAAAATGATAGAGGTCTAGGAGATAATTTTTAAAATCTCTTTAAATTATAAAATCCTCTACTTTTAAGCGCATATATTTATTTTTGAATAGGTTGAAAGGTTTAGAAATTAAGGTACAAAAATGATTCTTTGGAAAGTCTCATTTCTGCCCTTGCCCTCATCTGCCTTGCTCTTCCCCTCCACATCCTACACAGAGATGATCATTTCCATTAGTTTCTTATGTAATCTCCCAGAGTTTCTTTGCAGAAATATGAGCAAATACCTATCTCCTGTCTCACAAACACACACACACACACACACACACAAAAGGTATCATACTATGCATAATGATCCATAGCATTCATAGTCTATGTTGGATAGCTTTCCTTATCAATACATAGAGATTTTTTTAAATCTTTTCTACAACTGCATAAACCAAAAAAACAAACTCACTGCCATTGAGTCAATTCCGACTCAGTGACCCCCTTTGGGTTTCCAAGGCAGTAGATCTTTATGGAAGTAGATTGCCCAGTCTTCCCTCTGCAGAGTGTCTGGTGGATTTGAACTGCCAACCTTCTGGTTAGTAGTCAACTTCCTTAGGGACTAAGTCACCAGAGCTCCTTCACAACTGCATAGTTTTCATTAAATATATATACAAATTATTTCACCAGTTGCCCTATAGGGTAGGCACTTGGATTTTTTGTGTTTTTGTTATAAATAATGTTGTAGAAAATATATGCTTACATATATTGCTTATCTATGCAGTATAACTTCAGAATAAATTTCCAGAAGTGGAACTACTGAATCAACGAGTCAATACATCTCTACTTTTAGTAAATATCACCAAACTGTCCTTCGTACAGGTTACACCCAACTGCACTCTCACCAGCAAAGCATGAGAATCCTTGTTCTTCCATACTGTCATCTATAACAGATTCTTCCATTTTGTTTGTCCTTTTGGATTTCTAACCCATCTGATAAATAAATGGTACTTCAAATCCCTGTGTTATCCATGGCTGTCCATTAAGATCAACCATCCCCTAAGTTTATTTTTCTAATCTCTTTCTAATTTTTTCTTCTGTTACTACCTTTATTTAACTTCTCATAGTCTTACCTTTCACCCTGCTCCTTTCTCCCCTGCATAAGCCTTGCATCTGTAAGTAACGACAAACCACACTACTTAATGAAAACCAAATCCACTTCCATTGAGTCAATTCCAACTCATAGTGATGCCCATTGGGTTTCCAAGGCAGTCAATCTTTATAGAAGTAAACTGCCCCATCTTCCTTCTGTGGAGCAGCTGGTGGGTATGAACCCCCAACCTTTTGGTTAGCAGTCAAGTGCTTTAGTCACTGCACCACCAGAGCTCCTTAATTACAAGGATAGCTCTTAATAATAATGGATGTTAGTTCTTGATTTAAAATTATTTGAATGCATCCTGGCTCCCAATTTAATTATTTTAATGTATTGCAGCATCAAAGTATTGGATATGTGAGATCAATGTGGACTCTGGGGAAAATCTGACTTAGAAATTTGAAGAAATGTTCCATTAGCATTTTGAAAGCCGTTTTTCAGCACTTTCAAGTTTTTAACCTCAACCACTTAGCAATACTACAACCTATCCACATATTATTATGTGCCATGGGGTCAGACCTGACTCATAGCGACCCCTACTTGGGTTTCCGAGGCAGTATCACTACAGAAGTAGATTGTCCAGCCTTCCTTCCAAGGAGTGGTTGGTGGTTTGAACCGCCAGCCTTCTGGTTAGCAGTCAAATGCTTTAGGCATTATGCTACCAGAGCTCCTATAATAACTGATGGGGAGTTAATGTTTACAAAAGTTGACTGAGAAGCCCATATGTACACATCTCTGTAGGTGATGGATCTGTAACTGACTTCTATGTCAAACAAACTACAAAGTAGGCTATTTTTCTACTACACCTACACAGTTCACAATATAAACTTCTCCAGATTAACCAAAGTATTACTATAATGACAGTAAGATGCCTTCTCTTAGACACTCAAACCCTATAAAATCTCACAAAATACTAACCTTTGGGAGGTATGAGATTGACTCCATTTTTAAGGCACCATTGTACTGGCAAAATCCCCAAAGAATCCACATGGCACAGCATTGAGATTTTACTAGGTTCTGGTCTCAGATCATCAATAGTCACTTGAAAAAAATGATTGTTAAAAACCTGAAAGAAAGAAAAAAAGAAAAAAGAGCTAAGGGTTAATTCCTTCAAATTATAAATAGTGCTAACATGAAATTCTGGTACAGCTTCCAAAGACAATAAATATATTTCACCAAAAATAATTTGAGACTAACTGGTAGGTATTTCAATGTAGCTAAATTAATCCAGCTGCAAAAAAAATTAAAATTGGATGTTGTGGTCATATTAATTTAAAAATAACTGAGTAACTAAAATATAGAAAAGAAAAGGAATAAAAAATCAAAGACTTAGAGGTAAAAACCAATGGCCACAGTGGGAAGAAAAACAAACTAATGAAAAAAGACAGAGAAATGTTTTTTGTTTTTTTTTTTTTGAAAAAAAAAAATATATATCCACTGCCATTGAATTGATTCTGACTCATAGTGACCCTATAGGACTAGCGTAGAACTGCCCCATAGGTTTTCAGGGTTTAAATCCTTATGGAAGTACACTGCCTTATCTTTCTACCCTGGAGTAGCTGGTGGGTTCAAAACACCAACCTTTTGGTTAGCAACCAAATGCTTTAACTATTGAGCCACGAGTGCTCCTAGAGAAACCTTAACTTAGATGAAAACCAGGTCTAAAGGTTGAAAGCTCATCTGAAAGGTCAGTCTGGAATGCTGGTTCCCCTTGTCTACAGCAGAACCAAACTTCTTATATGTTTCCTGACCTTCTAAGAACTGGCTGAATCTCATTTTTCTATCCTTATCATATATCACTTCTCTCCAATTTTAATGCCCTACAAATACCCTGGTAGCATAGTGCCTAAGGCACTTGACTGCTAACCAGAAGGTTGGCGGTTCAAATCCACCAGCCACTCCTCGGAAGGAAGGTTGGGCAATCCTACTTCTGTAGTGATACTACCTCGGAAACCCAAGGAGGGGTTGCTATGAGTCGGGGCCGACTCAACGGCAAACAACAACAACAACAAATACCCTATCCTGCAACACAACAGCCACTCACTCACTATCCTCACTCAGAGATCTTGTAGGCTAGAATGTCCCAACTCCATTTTTAGTCTATCAAAATATTATGCTTTTTTCAGACCAGATTTACTGGTATGAAAGAGATTAGTCGAACCTCCAAGACTATGGCCCTTAGACACCCTTCATGCCTGGAACTGAACTCAATCCCAGGGATCAACTTTCAGCCAAAGAGAAGACAGGCTTATAAAGTGAATAAAAACACCAAAGAGGAATGTATTCCTCAGTACAATCAACCAGAGGAGACCAAAGGGGTAGCATTTGCCCCAAAAGAAAGCTCAGAAGGTAGGAAGGTATAGGAAAGAAGGATGAATAGAAACAGGGAATCCAGGGAGGAAGGGTAAAGAGTGCTGTTCCATTGAGGGCACTGCAACCAATGTTACAACAAAATGTGTATAAACTGTTGGATGAGAAACTAATTTTGTCTGGAAACTTTCACCTAAACAATAACTAAAAAAAAAAAAAAACCACACGTATTTTTTTCCAGGTGCATCTCAACTGTCAATGCCAGTGGAAACTTTTCCCAACCCTTCTTATTGAAAGACAGGGCTCCCTGCTCTGTGCTACCAAAGTATTGTATCTCTATGTTGAAAGTTCTCATTTTTTTCTGGTGGAGTGGTGACACATCTGTCTCCGTCTCCCTGAATAAAAGCATAAGTTTGCTGAGGACAAAAACAAAAAAAATCAATGCCATTGGCACCAGTTCCAACTCATAGCAGTCCCACGTGTTACAGGGTAGAACTATTCCATAGGGTTTTCTTGGCTGCAGTAATCTTCACAGAAACAGACAGTCATGCTTTTTTCCATGGTACTACTGGGGTGGGTCTGAATGACTGACCTTGAGATTAGCAGTCAAGCCCAAACCATTTGCACCACACAGGGCCCTTCTCTGAGGAGAGGGTCCTCTTTTTCATTCATCAGTGTATTTCCACAATGCATAGAAAATGTTTTAAAAATAGAAATTTGATAAATGTCCACTGAATATAAGAAAAAACATCAAAGAAGAAATAGGAATAAGGCATGCTGATGGACAACGTAGAGGGCAAAGATCAGACAGACCTCAACACTAAAAAACATGATGGATTTAAAGGACCTGGAGCTCTGGTAGCATAGTGCCTAAGGCACTTGACTGCTAACCAGAAGGCTGGTGGTTCAAACCCACCAGCCACTCCTCGGAAGGAAGATGGGGCAATCTACTTCTGTAGTGATACTGCCTCAGAAACCCAAGAAGGGGTCGCTATGAGTCAGGTCCGACTTGATGGCAAATAACAACAACAACAACAAGAACAGCGGATACACCAGGACAGAAAATAAAGAACACTTTCCAACTCAACAGATATAAAGCAATTTTCAGAACCTTAACATTTTTACTAATCTGTAATTATTGGCTCATTCATTTACAAAATATTTCCTGGAAGCAACCTAGGTTAAGCCTAAACAGGAGACTAAAGTCCACTTCTGTTCTTCTCTATGTTAATTCCACTAAATAGTTTATAAACTACTCGAGGTTTACCTTTGAAATTAAACATTAAGGAGCAAAGAGTCAAACATCACCTTCCCAATATGGCCTTCCCTGACAGCCCTAACTAAAATCATATCCTCCTTCGCTCAACCCAACACTCCATTATCCCCTTCCCTGATTTAACATGCTTTATTTATTTACTGATTATTTATTGTCTGGCTCCTCCCCCATTAAAATATAAGCTCCATAAGAGCCAGGACTTCTGTCTTCTATGTTCCCATTATCTAGAAGAGTGTCTTGCACACAATGAATGCTCAGTAAACATTTGTTATTTAAGGTGATCTAGACTCATGCATATATATGCACACTTACAAACATGTATATTGAAAAAGTATATTGTTTTATAGTCCACTGGTAGAAACCCTTAGTGCTACGGGACCATATAACAATGGGCACTAAGCTCAAGCTCATTGCCACTGTGTTGATTCCAACTCACAGTGACCCCCACTGGGTTTCCAATGGGGCTGTTAATCTTTACGGAAACAGACTGCCAAATCTTTCTTCCATGGAGCAGCTAGTGGGTTCAAACCACCAACCATCTGGCTAGCAGCCAAATGCCTTAACCACTACACCACCAGAGCTCCTTAACAGGCACTAAGGAATCTCCAAAATCCATTAAAATGAATGTTCATGTGTGCATACTTCAGAAGAAAAGGTCAATGAAAGAAGAAGGAATGATACACATGAAATACAATGATATAAGTATTTTATCTTTGGTATAAAGTATAAGAAAAGGAAAACGTAAGTTAAAAATCAGTGAACACCCTCCCCACCCACCCCACCCACACACATACAATGAGATCAATTTAAAGAAAAAATTATTTATGGTGAAAACCAAATGTCTGTCGCTGAAAGGCTATCCAACTAGATAAAGGTATTTGGGCTAAAACTAATTATAAGTAATATGTCACAGTCTAACTTCATATATTACAACTATTTAAAGGCATAAAAATGTGAGATAGTCTACCGCTGACAAGGTCAGCCCATCTGTACCTCTGTTTAATTTATTTTAGAAATATCAGATGAAGTTGACACAGTGGCCTTTTACAATGAGTATAATGGGATATATAGCCCAGATAAATATGCAGCTGGCATCATTGTATCACCTGCTGTTGGAATGAAGGAAAATTCTGGCCAAGTTTCAACAAGGTTATCACTCTTCAGTTTCGGAAAAATGTGCTACAACTACCAGAATATACAATAAAGGTCCCTAAAGGCAATTTCAAATAAAAACTCTTTTAATGGATATGATGTATCAACAAGAGGACATGGAATTCAATCTTGAGATTAGCATTCAAAGCATAAATACATTTTTTCCCCTCATATGTAGTTATGTTTTAAACAAATTAACAGTATTTAACATGAAAAGAAAATTCACGTTCATGAAAGAAAAGAAGCCTTCAGGAAAGAAGAAAAATTCATTATAATAATTATTTTCCATATTCTGTAACAAATTATGAACACTAAATTTCTCAGACTTTATCAAATCTTGAATGAGAAAATCCAGTTTAAAACACTAATTGCTGCATTAATAAACCCAGTCTCCTTCAGAAAAAGATATCAAAATGGAATTAACTTCTGAACCTCTAATTAAGTTCCCCCAATGAAACGAGCAAATAAAGTCATTAACCAAAACACACATTTGCTAAGAATGCTAGTTTGTTGGTTTTACCCACCACTGATAAGAGAACAGTTAAAGCAGAAACACACATTTAGATGTAACCATAGATGCCTTCATCCAGTTTTCTTCAATGGGGACGGCAAATCATCTTAAAGAATATCAGATCATAATACAAATACCTTCACATAAAAAAGTAATTTAATTTAAAATCTGCAAATATTAGAAGCCTGAGCTTTCCTTTGGTCATTGCTGTTGCTAGGTGCCTTTGAGTCGGCTCCGACTCACAGTGACCCTATGTACAAGGTCATTAGAAACAGATTAAAAAAAAGTAGAAATACTAAAGGGAAATCTACCTTAGTCACTGATGCAGGATATCAGAGGTAGGAATTTGCTTTTCTTCATTTTCCTGTTATTTTTAAATGTAAATAGATTATATAAACTATCACCAATGCAACAAGAAAAGCAAGTTACTATTAGAATGATTACAACAGGCAGCTCATAAGCAGTTTAATTACTTTACTGAGAAGATGAACAAACAGTTTTAAAGTGATTAATATATATGACTAGGGCTAATGAAAGGAGCCCTGGTGGCACAATGGTTAAGCACTTGGCTGCTAACCTAAAGGTTGACGGTTCAAGCCCACCAGCAGCTCCATGGGAAAAAAGACCTGCTAATTGGTTCCCATACAGATTACTGTTATTGCATGCCATCAAGTCAAATCCAACTCATATTGCCCCAAAGGATAGAGTAGAGCTGTCACATAGGGTTTCAGGGCTCACAAAAGTAGACTGAGACTTCTTTCTCCCACTACTTTCTGTGTAGTGGCTGGTAGATTTGAACCACAGACCTTTTGGGCTAGTAGCTGAGCATTTAACCACTGTGCCACCAAGGCTCCTTTGTTCTACGTTACCACTGATAAAAGAAGAGTTTTAAATAGTACTAAACAAAAAGGCAATCTTCTTTTGGTTTGTTTGGCGTTGCTGCATATCCTCGCACAAGTGTATTTCATTTCGCTTTGAACTGAGTGACTTATTTGACCCTCTCTCTGGAAGCTGAGGTGAGGAGTAAGGGAGGAAAACCCACCTTAGTCACTGATGCAGGACAGATATGAAAGGGCTCCCTCATATTCACTGTTTCTAGCTTCATACCAACTGTGAAGAAATGGCTTCGCAAATCTGCATGATCCTGCAGGGGAAAAGACAAAAATATTGAAAGCTACAGCATTGTAAATTAACCCAGAAACTATCTGGATGATATCCTTGAGCATTTTATTGGGCAACAACTAAAATCTGATTGAAATAATTAACCCTCCTGTTTCAAATTTCTAATTATTGCATGATACTACAGATTTAATTATTTTCTGCAGGCTAAATTGCTTTTCCAAGGGAGAGGAAACAGGCCTTTGCAGTCATTCTTAAATTTACACTAAGCAAAAAATTCACATTCCACTGCTTTGATCTTTCTAGGTGCTATCCATTGGAGCACAGCAGAGTAATAGAGGCAATCAGTCATCTTAAACACAGCAGGAGCAGCTTCAGGAAACGTGGCCTCTTGCTACTGGACTTACTTTATAGGGTTTCAGTGAGTACCTTGTAGGTGATACAGTTTGTCCCTGCCCCCTCGTGTTTCACAGTACACGGCTTAACCAATTAGGCAGTGAGAGAAGAAGATCTTGGAGATATGTGCATATAAGCATCCCAAACAGCTCTGCAGACAATCTAAACCTGACCCCTACTCAATAAAGATGAGCAACATCCCCCACTTAATAGTTGCCTGGCAGTTTTATAACCCATTCACAGCAACCTTATGTGTGAGAAACGGGGTTTGCCTCCTTTCTCAAGAAAACAAATTTCAATATACACTTCAGCTATACAGCAAGAGATGAGGTTGGCTGGACTCTGGATACCAGAATTTATCTGGTCGAGATGGAGGTCACCTCATAACTCACAGACTGTATAAACAGTGGTGGATAAATAAATGTATTTGCTGCCTGTCCCTGAGGAAGTAATAGCTGCAAATAAATTCCGCTCTTTCCAAGTACATCAATTGGGTGTGAAGCACAAAAATGTCTAGGGATCTATCACTTTCTTTTCTCTGCAAGTCTAAAGTGGCTTTCTAATTAATTCAGTGCTGCCATTCTACATCTAACTCTGAGGATCACACACAATCCAGCTGGGCAGTGCCTGCTTCCTCCACAAAAGCTGGTCAATACAGTCGGTGTCCACCATGGGGCCAGAGAACAGGAACCATTTATAGAACTCTTCACCACTCCATCGCTGTAGCAATCAAGGCACAGAATATAAACGCCTATAGAACCACAAGGACCCTTTCATTTTTCATTTCCCCCCAGCAGTTTATAAAGGTCTTTGTACTCAATGGATGTGCAACAAATGATGGGTTGGGCTGAAGCAAATAAGGCCACATTCAAGGAGGGCGGATAATCAGAATGAGAAGGGATGTGGTCAGTGGACAATCACTGCTATGCTAAACACTAATCAAAAGAACTGGTCCATTCTAAGCCTTTATAAATATAAAATCTTAAATATAAGATTATATAATAAACACTTCATAAAAATTATATACATAAGGAAAGGCTTAAGGAAATTATCTTGGTTATAGGTGATGAGTTTCATCTTTTTCTATTAAAAATAATGTTTATAAAGGTGGGTGGGAAGATGGATCAGAAAGAAAAAAAAAAAAAAGTAAAGAGTTAAGGCATATTAAGACACACCAACCATAATGCCATAAGAATATCTCCACTATATTTCAGCAGAGCCATAAAGCTGCAGTGTTGAAACTTAACAACTAAACAGAAAATGACTAATAGACATCTGAATTAAAAGACTAAAACTTAATGTCCTTGTCAGACATGAATGACCCCAATATCTCACTATCAACAGGAATTGAATCACATTAGTGGATTTTGTGGGAGCTCTAGTAGTGTAGTGCCTAAGGCATTTGACTGCTAACTAGAAGGCTAGCGGTTCAAATGCACCAGCCACTCCTTGGAAGGAAGGTTGAGCAACCTACTTCTGTAGTAATACTGCCTTGGAAACCCAAGGAGAGGTTGCTGTGAGTTGGATCTGACTCCAGGCAGTGAGTTTGGTTCTTCTTTTTTTGGAGTGGATTTTGCAGGTAACTATTTTTCCCTTTTAAGCACAAAATGCTTTAACCTTTTAAAAAGAGGAATTACTCTAAAATATTCCTACTTTGCCTGAATATACTTAACAAGTTGAACCAACCAACCAACCCCTGCCATCAAGTCAATTCTGAGTCATAGCGACCTTTTTGGGATAGAGAAGAACTGCCCCATAGGGGTCCCAAGCTATAAAGACTGTCTCATCTTTCTCTTGCAGAGCAGCTGGTAGATCCAAACAGCCAACCTTTTGGTTACCATGTAAATGCTTTAACCACTGTGCCACCAGAGCTCCTTCAACAAGTTGAAGCAGTCATTATTGTACTATTTATAATACAGAAATGCCCTCAAGCACTAATCGCACACTTGTTATTATAGTAAATGGCCCCAGACACAGGTTCTGTAATATTGTCACAGAACTTCTGTTTTCCTGTTGTCATCTGTCTTTCCTTGCTGCAGCATTCCCTCACTTCCATCCACAACTATAAGGCTAAACAGTCTTGATTTTGGTTCACTAATAATAAAACTTACTGCCATCAAGTCAGTTCCGACTCACAGCGACCCTATAGGTCAGAGGAGAACTCACCATAGGGTTTCCAAGGCTGTCAATCTTTATGGAAGCAAACTGTTTCATCTTTCTCTCACGGAATGGCTGGTGGGTTCGAACCACTGAGATTTTGGTTAGCAGCTGAATGCCTTAGCCACTGTACCATGAGAGCTTCTGCTCTCTGGGTAGAGTCAGTGAATTTCTAAGTAGGTTTGACCTGTGACCTCCAGGCCCATTTTAAGTCTTAGGTCCTCAGTTTACCCTAACCACTGACTTGAAAGTCTTCAGCCAAGTCCATACACATCCTACAGCCCACACTCAAAGTCCCACTGGAAGGAGCCTCAAGGAACCCTGCACTAACAGCAGTCCTTTAACTGCCTCCTTACTCTATTTACAGTGGTCTAGTGAAAAATGGTTGCCTCTCCTCAGAAATGAAGCACAAAAACTTAGGAGGGCAATTTGTTCCTCTGTGAACATTCCTATTTCAGGGCTGAGGACTGTACTATAGAGCTTTACTGTTAATGATCTAAGAGTATTCTGTTTTGGCTGACTGTATCAAACTACATTTCTAGGTTAAGAGGGGATCCGATCACCTTGTACACATACTACACATTCTTTTCCTTCTTCCCTGGGCTTCCTGGGTGCTCATATGGCAATCACTGAACTTTTCTCTGTCTCCCTGCTCATCCATAAAAATTCCCATAAATGTCAAAATCATATATGGCCATATTTACAAAATTTTTATTTACCAAAATAAAAACAGCAAGATGTTAAAATATTTTCTAAACTATTTAAAGGTAGCATTATTCCAAAGGTTTAGAAACAAGTTTTCCCTTTGCCAGGCATGGCTCAGATTTCCCACGTCTTAAATTACTTCTAGTAGGTTTCAGTTGCAAATGCTTGAACCTCTTACTTGTGGAAATGCATCTGTTTTGGTTTAAAACTATGTGAAACTTCAGCCCTCTTGTTTAATATACTGAGAGAAACAGCCAGACATTTTGAGAGGCAGCTTGCATCTACACACAAGTATTTATACTCTGGCTTCAAATATCCACATGTATCTATTAATAAGGAGCTTTGGTGGTGTAGTGCCTAAGCCATTTAACTGCTAACCAGAAGGCTGGCAGTTCAAATCCACCAGCCACTCCATAGAAGGAAGACTGAGCAATCTATTTCCATAAAGACTTACCACCTTAGAAACCCAAAGGGGGTCACTATGAGTTGGAACTGACTCAATGTCAGTGAGTTTGGTTTTTTGGTATCTATGAAAAGTGAACTCCAGTTTTCAGAAATGATCTGAAAACTATAAAATATATTTCTGTATCATCAAGTTCTAACTTCCACTTTCTTAAGGTTACTTTTCACTGACATGGGGAAAAAAAATCCTTCTAGAACTATGTAGAAATCCTACCAGTTTCAAAAGTAAGGCAATTAATAGAAATTTAAAAGATTCCAGATTAGAAATGCATAACAATCACTGACTAAATCTGCTGCTCATGTTTATGTTACGCATGAACAATGATCTAGAAACTTTTTACTACAAAAGACAGGATCGTAGCTTTTAAAGTGGCTTGTCATGGAAACCTCTGGCTGCTGGACAAATTTAAAAACTTATGACAGGTGATCATGTTGTATGTGCAATACTTCCTAGTGACCACTAAACTCTCTCATTTAGTATTATTTAGTTCAACCAAGAAAAATCTCAATAAATATTTATTGAATTAGCTGAGGGAATGTGAAAAGCTAGATGATTTCTGGACATACATTCCAATTCCACATTTCAACATTCATCCAATAAGCATTCACTAGAAACCACCAAGGTTCCCTACCCCCAGGCTACTAGATGTTGCATGAATATACAAAAAATCTACGTCAAAGGAAGAAGGAAAAGATAAAGATAGAATAGCTATGAGAGATCCACACTTACAAGCAATTAAGGATTTTTTTTTTCCATTTCCAGTAAATAAAAATTAAAGATCAGCATGGTGATGGTGTCGTAGTGGATAAGGCATTTGGCTGCTAACCAGTAGTTCAGCAGTTCAAACCCACCAGCTGCTCAGCAGAATGAAGATGGGGTAATCTACTTCTGTAAATATTTACAGCCTCAGAAACCCAATGGAGGTCACCATGAGTTGGAATCAACTCAATGGCAATGAGTTTGGGCTTTTGTTTTTTTTTTTTAAATGATGATGATGATGGTAGCAGAAGATTTATAGGAGTGTATCTTAATTTGGAATTTGAAAATCATGCGAGTCAGACTTATGAGGAAAGATTAAATTTAAGTCATGAAGCAGGGCCTCAGATACCCAGTGGAGCATCTGAGTCTGATCCAAAAGGCAAAAGGAGACACTCGACACTTAGGAAGTATATATTTTTTAATGACAGTTGAAGAATTCAACACCAGAGAATTCTCAGATAAGTCAACGCAGAGATCTTCCGGGCTGTGAGTATAATAATACATGCATACATACTTATTAGTATATGAGAAAAGGTACTGATTTT